AATTATTACTTTTCTGACTTTTTTTGTAATCATCTCTGTTCCTCACTTGAATAATTATCTCCTAGTTATCCATTTGAAATAAATGAATAAATAAGAAGAAATAGTAAGAAGGAGTATCACATTTATTACAGAGAAAAGGCACAAGTTTATCTTTTGCATAACTGTCACAGGTCTCCATTAAATAGACCTACAAAAATCATTTTTAAAAATTTCCCTCTCCACCACCATTCCTCCAAACGAATATTAATAACGGTGGTGAAAGCCTTTCAAATACTAAGAGAAGCTTTCATAATAATTTTTCAGAGTAATTTAAAATACATGTCAGATAACTAAGAGACTTTTTGGAGCCAGGTTTCCAATATAGTTGGAATCAGATAATTAAACACAGAAAAAAACTTATCATTGGCCTCATAGTAATGCAAAGTGCAAAGAGTATGGCTATTTTGTGAGATAAATGGGAACCAGAGTACAGCCAGTTATTAGTAAAAATACAAATTCTACTTTTCCAGAGTTCAGAAATGCTTTTTAAACATTACAGGGTTAAGAAGATTCATTTTCAAGATAATTTTCTTTCTTTTCCTATGTTTCTTAAATCTCCATTGTTTATTGTATTGCTTTTGGTCAGTTCCTGCCACAGACATTGAACCTGTGACTCTGAGAACTGAGGCTCCCAGGACAACATTAGGTAATGACCTTTTATCTCTTTAAGCAAGTGCGTTTCTGCTCACTGTCTAGTCTATTCCATTACTATCTTGGTCAAGGGGCTTTCTCTTTCATAAGATTTTCTCATCATCTTCTCTTGTTACTCAACTATATTCTTCATTTGGAATGTATTGAAGGTGTTGAAAACAAGTTACCTTGGTTAGAATATAAGCCCATATGCAGCTAGTGCAGACCTTCTATCTCCCATATTATCCAGCTTTATTAATGCTTTACGAGGCCTGTGATTCTGCTGTGTTCTGTGGTAAAGCTGAATTTCAAATACAATTAAGAGTGCCCCATAAATATCAATTATAATTCTGTGGGCATCAACAAAAAGTTGCTTTAAGATATGCAGGGCATTTTTATTGTCTACTAATGATTTTAAGAAATGAAATGTGCTTATTCTAATAACGTTTAATGGCCTGTATGCCTAAGCCAGGTAATTTCTAAATACACTCTCCCAAAAGCAGGTGAGCCTGGACCCCTTTCTAACGTGATATTGACGTGCTGTGCTCTGACTTCCCTTAGGTCAGGAGCCTCTTTAAAAATCTGACAGCAGCAATAACAATAATGCTTTCAGATGATCAAAATAATGTTATATATTCCTTCTCAAAAGAACTGTCAGTAGACCCCTCCCAAAAGAAATTTCTTTTGCATAGAGATGACAAGAGAATTCCAAACCAAAGAGCCGAATTTCTCATGACTCAAGAAGGTCTAGCAAAATTTGGAAAACCTAGAGCCGTGCATAATCCTTTCTTTGGTTTCTGGAGTCATAAGTCGACATTAACCAGTTTCCTTTCTTCAGCTCCAAAAACCTCACAAAGAACAAGACCACGTCGTCCGCGTCCCAAACCTAAAACCACGCCGAGGCCAGAGGCGCCTCAGACAAAACCGGGTAAATATGTGCTTCCCCAGCCTGTGGGACCCTGTCAAATGTGCTACTCGGTGGCAGTTTAACCTTCCACCTAATAACCCTCGTGACCCTGAGGGGTGAAAGCCCACGTCACAGGTGCTCTGGTCAGTGCCCGTGATTTCTCACGCGGCTTGGTATCTTCCTGGTACCCATGTATCTTATTTGCCTCTCTGGCCATTCAATTACATTTTTGTCTTTGACTCTGGCTCAGCAAAAACTTATCTAGTTAAGTATCTAACTAGCCTATTTGGTTCAATTAGTCACACATTTTATTCAGTACCACATTAGCATCTGTAGGGGATAGTTTAGAAATAACAAATGACTTGGCTTGATTGAGGAAGGAAGCTGCTCTTGAAACTGTTCATAAATAGATATAAAGGGATATGGGCAAAAGCAACGTACTGATCGAGTTTTACCAACTGTTAGGCACATTCTTAAGTTGATTCTTAGAGAAGTAAAAGATCCACAGGCTGATAGGTGTCATGTGGACCTTGTTTGTAGATTTGTTGGAGGGATGGGCAGGAAGGTGCCATATGTGTGGCTGGCAGCAGAAGGAATTACAAGTGCAACCTGATTGTGAGAAAGGAGAAAGGTGATGTTCATTTAGCTGGTGCTCAGAAATTTTGGTCAGTGATGCTGCTTTTAGATGGGTCTATGAAGAGGGCCTTGAACGCCTGACTTCAATGGCTGGGTGTGAGCTGACCATCTGCAGCATACTCTCCTGTCCTCCCGGGGTCAGGCCTGTTCTGTCCAGATAACAGAGCGATGCTCTGACAAGTTTCACAGCCTGAATGACCACCTGTGTCTTGCTCTTTTATGTGCCTTTGGACAGAGGTCTTTGTCTTTTTCCAAAGTGGACTCTCAACAAAAAAGAGCATTGTCTATTTTGGTTATTCATTACAGTATCTGCTTAAATGTATCAACCGTTGCATCAATCGTGATCTAAGGCTTTGTTTTCCAGTATATAGTTATAGATTATATTTTCATATTCTTCTCTCGTAATTGTCTCATAAGCAGGTTATTAGACAAATGCCTAAAGATTTTTCCAAGCAGGGTTTTCTCCTGTATTATCAGATAATATAAAAACAAGCACAACTTGTAGCTAACCATGCAGAGATACTAAGGATACAACCATTTCATAAGAACAAATATCTTTGTATGTTCACGTCAGACCTTTAAAATTTTTGCTTTTGGCTATAGAATCAATGCTACACTAGTGAAGTTCATTTTCAAGAGAGTTTGATGACTTTTCTCCTGTGTTTAACTTTTTTTTAAATTACTTTTTATCATTTCTTGCTACAGACATTGAACCTGTTACTCCTGGGACGTCTTTAGGTAATGATCCTTACATCCTTCAGCAAGTGCTGTTTCTTCTTTGTTGTCAGGCTTATCTGTGGTGCGATTTAGATGATGATGTCAGAATTCATTGTCATCCTATTACAGTGTTCGTCTTTAAAGATAAAAGGCTTTCTTTCTAACAGAAATGTGTATGGACTTAATTCAAGACCACTATCTGCTCCACATCCCAGCTTGAAATTGCATCTTGTTGATCTGAGTCTCTGTTTAAACAGTACTGTTTGTCACAGCTGAGATGCAAATAGGGTCCCCCATATACTCCTTACTTAGATCACCAATACAGTATCATTATGATACCATGAAGTTTCTTTAAGCATCTTTTTTTTCTATATTTCAAGTTCTACATAACATTTTTCAGTTTGTTGATGTTTCAGGGAATTTTATATACTTATTCTAGTGAATTACCAAGTGGGAAATTTTCCCAAGCCTAGTCGTTTGAAACTATAAGTGAATACTATAGGGTGGTTTGAACTCCTCTCACACCATCAGAGTTTAGCAGTGATTTGTAACCAGTTTCAGATTAGGGACACTTAAGAAAATGACAGTTCCTCACCTTCATTTCTTAAATGTAATTGTAACATAATTTTTAATCTCTGGAGAACTCTCAATTATAAAAGAAAACTTATTAGTATACTAAAGGATGAAATTTCAAACCAAAACAACAAAGTTGTCTCCACTCAAAGAAACTCAGACAAGTCTTAGAAAGCTTAGAGCCAGGTTATATCATTCTATTCAGAGTTTATGGAGGCATCAGCACTATATTAATCCTAAATTTTCTTCCTTCAGCTCCAGCAAAAACTACAAAGAGACCCCGTCGTCTGCGTCCCAAACCTAAAACCACACCCCATCCAGAAGTACCTCAGACCAAACTGGGTAAATATGTGGTGTCTGGTTTAAGGAATCCAAGCAGCCAACCCCAGTTAGGACCCTAAATTCTATGCACATGGTTGGTACATGCCCTATATAGCTCTTAAGAGTAAAAGCCACTAGTTAGTCAGGAGAGCATGAGATATCCGAGCATCTCGTGCTTCCTGTGCAGGAATCTGCTCCATCAATGATCATTTTATTTACTTGTCTTGCTATCTGATTCCATTCGTGTCTTAAAGATAAAGCTTGCTCAGTCAAGCATTGAGCCAAAACAATCAATTCAAGTTGAGAACTTTTACTAATCCCTTCTATATCCCATAACCATATTAGCAGTTATGAGATACATCACAAGGAGGAAGTATGTTTTATTTACTAATCAGTTCGTACTATAGTTGTAAACAAAAGCTCTTCTGCAGAAACAGGTAGAAAATAGCATGAGGCAGCATGGTTAAACAAATGTGAAACAATTTCTCAAATGGTACAAATGCTGTATGCTAGGAGTGTGGCAAATATTTGGAGCAGGAAAAGATCCAGGATAGTCAGGAAGAAATCAGTACAGAATTTGGACGAGTGAAGGGATGAGGGAACAAAGGCTGACAAGCATGGAATGTGTTGAAGCTGGCATCCCAGACAGAGGTCGACTTGTTGACGTTCTCCTGCTGAATGGGCCCATGGATGAATTAAAGTGGGGCTGAGATGTCTACTCCAGAGCTTAGATTTGATCCAGTGGGCTTCAGCTATCTGCACAGAACCATGCTTCTTCTGTTCTTAGAACTGAAGATGCCTAGTCAAACATGGTGCCACAAACTGAGAGGTTGTTCCTCACATTATTACATTAAGTGCCACTGTTTTCTCTAAGGGCGTAGTTTCTTAATATAGTCTCAGCTTCCTTTTGGCTATCTGTTGTGTGTGGTGGACAGACCTAGGGTCTGTCCTACTCCCTACCCCCTCCACCTCCCACCCCTATAGCTCCTGCCTCTTGGTGTCAATGTCTTTGTGTAATCCATCCAAACCTTCTTCTTCCCCTCTCCGGCTTAGAAGCCTTAGAAGCATTATTTGTACTGGCAAGATGAATTTTCTGACACTCCGTGCATTCACAAAAATCTCTCTGGTTTCTTTTATTACTTTTGATCAGTTCCTGCCACAACCCTTGAACCGGTTATTCTTAGAACCGAGGCTCCAGGGACGACGCTAGGTAATGACACGTTATGTCCACAACATCTGCTTTTCCTGCTCATTTCACACCTATTTCCTCACCGTCATAGCCATGGCTTCTCCCGCTTCACAAAACTTCTGTGTCATCCTCTATTGTCATTCAATTACTTCTTAATACATTGAAGAGTATTAAAACAGCTTACTTGTTCTTAAGAGAGCCGGGTATGAACTTAGGGTGGTACATGTACCTGCAATGCGATGCATTTGAATTTGCGGCATTTAGCCCCCGTGTAACCTTTTAATCCATTCTTTGTTACTGTGTTTCAAACGCAATCAGTGGGGGTTGGGATGAGGGTGTCTGTCCTTGATCTAAGCTGAGTGTGTTGTCACAGCTATTATGGCGTGACGTAATTCTCGTGCAGATCTAAATTCCTACATTTTTACTATCTGTATGATTTGGGTTTCTTTTTTTTTTTTTTTTTTGCCATTTTAGGTAACGATGTGGTCTTTTTTTCAGTAAGGAGTGAAATAGAAAATATGCCCAAAGCTAATAAATTTAAATAATAAGCACCATCATTAGTATGAAATCACCCCACCCCCTCCCCTACCACCGTAACTCAACAAGATTTGGAAGCTTTTTTCATTCAGAAATCCCTGTGAGAATCTCCTTGATATATCAGCTCCTGTTTCTGTGAGATTTTTGTTTTCCAGAGTAACATAAATGATATAAAGAGGCAGTTATCAAAATAGGGGCAAATATTTCAAACTCAAAAGAAAAATTTCCTGAAACTCAAAAAATCGTAACAAGTATAATCCTATTCACAGCTTCTGGAACTAAAAACACTCTACTAACCTGAGATTTTCTTCCTTTAGCTCCCAAAGTGCCTCAGCAGACTCGTCATCCGCGTCCCAAACCTAAAACCACAGCAAGTCCAGAAGCAGCTCAGACTGAACTGGGTAAATGGGTGGATCCTGGTTAGGGAATCCCGGCAGCCCTCCCGGTGGGGTCCAGAGAAAGTGAAGGGGCAAGGCAGGGTCAGCGGCTGCTTCTACCCTGAAGCAGGCAACCAGAACACAGTTGAGAGGTCTCATGTAGTAGCTGAATTCCTCACTCTTTGTGAATTAGAATCTTCTCTCTAAATGTCCATTAATTGACTTCTCATTCAATCCTATGCATCCTTTAAATATTGAATGTTTATGGTGAACAGAAACAGATATAGATGAATGTAGGTTGCAGCAGATAGGAGAGAGAGTATTTCTTGGTAACTATGAAAGTTGTATAAGTCATAGTAAGGATCTAGGGCAGGAGTTGAACATTTTCTATAAAAGGCTAGATGCTAAATATTTGAGAGTTTGTGGGCCATATAGTCTCTTTGTATTTTTTTTTTTTTTCATAACCACTTAAAAATGGAAAAATCATTCTTTGCTCTCATGGGCTGTATGAAAACAAGCCACAGGCAAGGTATGGCCTGTGGGCCATAGTTTGTCAACCCCAGTTTAAAGAAATGATCAGCGTGGGCCAGAATAGTTAGGAAGGACACGAGCACAGAAATCACTGTAGATTTGGACCACTGGGGGAGGGGATGGAGAGGTTCAGAAAGGCAGGACATGTATGGAGGCCAGTGAGAGGAGACAGAGGCTTCTATCACTGATGGAGGGAGGCTGTCAGGCTTCTAAGTGTTGATCAGAGCATTTCATTGAGGCTGCAGCAGCTAAATGAGCCCATAGGACCAGTTGAAAAGGGACTTTGGATGTGGGACTTAGGAGTTTGGATTTCACGTAAGAATCATCAGTATCCATATGTGGTCAGGCTTTCTCTGAGCACTGGACAGAGGGATACCAGCTGTACCTCAGGCTGAATGGCTGCCCCTTATCCTACTCGCTTGAGTAGCGTGGTTGAGCAAAGCCTATTATCTGTTTCCAAAGATGAGTTTTCAGCAAGATGGATATGGTCTACTTTGGTCCATTACTTAGACTAGGATCATCAAAGAGTGAGAAACCTCAGGGGCACTTCACAGGGGAAGTTGTCTGAGTACAAAGACAATCATTCCTACTTGAGGAATTGGTACCGAGTGCAGAGACCCTACATCCCTCAGCTCAGAAGATTGATAGTGTTTGCTTTGTGCTCTAGACACGTTATTACTCTAGTGCAATTCTTTTTGAGGTGAATATTCTGAGATTGTATAAATGTTTAACATTTCATTGTTTTTTTTATTATTTTGGTCAGTTCCTGCTACAGTCTTTGAACCAGTTACTCCTATAAGAGAGGCTCCAGGGACAGCGCTTGGTAATGCTGCTTTCTCACCTTCAGCAGTGCTCTCTCTGCTCATTGTCAAACCCATTCCACTCTGTTGCCTTTTGGCTACATTCTTCATTTTCTGAGCTGAACATGCATAAAACAAGTTACCTCCTGTTCTTAAGAGAGTTGTGCCTGAACCTAGTTTGGGATATCTTCCTGCCTCGTACCTTACTTTAAAATTTTTTCATGCCACCTCAAGTTTTTGGCTTAATCCGAGTTCTCTGTTGAGGTAAATTTCATATGTCCATGAGAGTGCCTGACCCTGACCTCTGCCCACCAGGCTGGAAGAGGGAGGTTTCTTTACACATCCTTTGTACAGCTACCTTTTTTATCTGCCTGATTTTTGTTGTTGTTTTAACCTTGGGTAGTATGTTTTTAGTGAATTGTCTAACAGATGTGATCAAGCCTAACAAGTTTAAATAGTGAGCCCCATCCTTAGGGTGAACCTGACTCCCCCTTACTCTACACCATAGTTTGGAAATGATTCTTCATCTTTTTAATGCCTCAGAGAACTCGAGGAGAATGTGATAAAAATACCAATCTTGACTCTCTGAATTAATAACTTCATTTTTTATGTCAACTTTGCCTCCAAAGTATCTTCGATAACAAAAGAAAATATAATACCATAGTAGTGGCAAAATTTTCACACAAAAAGATACATTTCCTGAAACTCAAGAAAATATATCAAGCTTTGGAAAACTTAAAGATATTTTTTAAGCCCTATAATTTGCAGAACCATAAACTTTAAAGTAACTAAATGTTATCTTTTTCCTTCTCCAAAAACATCCCAGTGGACATGTCATTCACAACACCAACTTAAAACCACTCTAAGTCCACATGTAGCTGAGTCCTTGGTTTAAACAGCCTGGGAGCCTGTCACTGATTGAGAACGTAAACCCACTTACCCCCTCCAGAGCTGGCAAGACATTCATGTTTGGAAGAGACATAATCTTCCCTCTAATTCTGGGTGGTAAGAGACATGTTTGACTTCTCAGTCTGCAGGCTACTTGAGCACAAAAACTTCCTGCATGGAAAGCCTAGAGAATGAGAATAAGGGTGTTTTTTACACATTCAAGACTTTTCTTGGGTACATTAAGCCTTAGACTCATTATATAAGGTCTTAAAGAAGTGAAAAATCAGTCTGGGCTTCAGTAGAGCAAGGAAGGAGTTTGGGCCTTGATGTCACATCAGAATTTGCACAAGTGGAGAGGTGACAGTGAACAAAGATGAAAAACTAGGATATTTACAGATGCAGCCAGAATGAGCAGAGATCTTGCTTCTTCTAAGTGTCAGTCAAAGCATTTTTGTTGGTAATTATACATTTGGATGACACCATGGAGGGTTGAAGTAGGCTGATATTGTTCTCATGTGCATCAGAAATCTCTTCTGTCCACACTGGATAAAGTTTTCCCTGTACTGAGAGAGGATGGGTGCTTTACTGGATGCCACAGATTGAGTAGCTGCCCCTCACCTAGTCCTCTTGAATGCCTTTGTTTGGACAGAAGTCACAAGATCTTTCCAAAGCTCAGTTCCCAGCAAAATCATCATTGGTTATTTGTGTCACGGCTGCTTGGTTATTTAGGAACTTTTTCTGCAAGCATAATTTGATAAACATACTAGATGGTTTCTTTATTCAGCATCTACAGAAGTGTGAGAGTTTTTCACATGCTTCTTGAGCGTTGTTAAAAACATATTAAAGTAAATGCCTAAAAATGTCCTAAAGTCTACCATGGTAAACTCAGATAATCAAGCACCAACTGCAGGAACTATTTCCCTCCTTTGGTACTAAACAGAGACCAAAGGTAATGACTCCCTCATGAGATGAGGAAGTCCCTAACTACAGTTTGGCCAAGTGACAAGACAATTGATTTCCTTTCATATTAGTCAGCGAGGGCTGCCATAACAAAATACCACAGACTGGGTGACTTAAACAACGGAAATCTATTTCTCACAGCTCTTGAAGCTGGAAGTCTAATATCAGGTGTCAGCAGGTTTAATTCCTCCTGAGGCCTCTCTCCTTGGCTTGCAGATGGCCACCATCTTGCTGTGTCCTCACATGGCCTTTCCTCTGTGCGTGAAACTCTCTCGTGTCTCTCTCTCTTATAAGGACATCAGTCCTATTGGATTAGAGCCCTACCCTTAATACATCATTCAACCTTAATTGCCTCTTTAAAGGCCCTATCTCCAAATACAGTCACACTGGGAGTTAGGGCTTTAAGTATATGAATTTGGAGGAGAAACAATTCAGTCCATAATACCCTTCATTCATAAATTTAAAAAAAATTATTCTAGAGGCAATGTTACACTGGCAAGATTCGTTTTGAAGTGAATGTTGTAGGTCTTCATACATTTAAAAAAAAAAAATCTCTTATTTGTTTTATTGCTTCAGTTCCTGTCACAGATTTTGAACCTGTTGCTTTCGCAGCCGAGACCTCTGGGACAACATTAGGTAATGACTGTGGGTAATTCACCAAGTGCTTTTGCTGCTCATTGTCCCGTCCATTCAGTCCCTGTCTCCTGGCTTTTTCTCCTTCACGAGATGACCACCATCATCCTCTGCTGCCATTCAATCACTTCTTTCATCTGAAGAGTTCTGAAGCCTCTTAAAAACAAGTTTCCTGTTGTTTTTATGAGAGCAGGCATGAGCTTAGCTCAAAACACGTACTGTTACGTGGCACATTTGAAATTGTCACGTTACCCTCTGCCTCGTTCTGTGTTAAAGCTGAATTTAAAACAAATTGGGATCTATTTCTTACCTAGGCTGATCGGTGATAACAACTACTCTTATGCTCCTTTGCACATCTGAGTTTCTAGATTTTTAAACAATTGTCTGCATGGTATGTTTGTTTCTTTGTTGGTGCTTTAAGTCATGATGTGTTTTATTACTAATCTAACAAGTAGGAAATTACCCCAATCTGAAATTTAAATTATAAGGCTCTTACTTAGTGTGACCCTAACTTGCCCTCCCCTTGCATAGAGCTGAGCATCCTTCTCCGTCATTTCCCCAGGGAGGACATTCTATGAGTGTCTGGTTACAAGTGCTAATCTTCATACTTTGAATATCCTATATACATAGGTTTGGCCCCAAAGTACCCTCGATGATAAAAAGAAGATACACTGGCATAAAAGGAGTGAAAATTTTAAACTACAGATAATTTCCTGGAACTTTAGAAAATCTAACAGATTTTAGAAAAACTTCTCCTCAGTATCCAGAGTTGTAAGACCTAGAGTAACCCAAGGCTTTTCTTTCTTCAGCTCCCAAACCACCACAAAGACCGCGTCGTCCACGTCCCAGACCTAAAACCACACCGAGCCCTCAAGTACCTCACACCAAACCGGGTAAATGTGGAATTCCTTGGTTTAAGGGTGAGCCCTAGTAGCCTATCCCAGTGGGGACCCAAAGCAGTACCAAGCTCTTATTCTCTCTAAGCATGAGGTCAGGAGGCATTGTCAGTAATGTCTCCTCTGCCCAAGTATCAGGGAGAATATGACTGGGTGAGATACAGTTGGTGCCAGAAGACCTTATTCTTTCTATATGAGAGTCTTCTTTGATATGCATTTAATATATTTCTTACTAAAAAATTCCATTCAAATCTTAAAGATAAAACTTCTTTAGCAGAGCCAATAAACAAACAAATTTTAATTCCCTTGCATATTTAATTGCATATTTAATTGCAATTTTAATTCCTGGACCGATATTGACAACCGTGGGTCGTGTGTCAGCTGTAGGAGACTTATTTTATTTCTAAAGCAGTAGAGTTGAGTACGTGTTTACGTGATATAAACATTAAATATTGACCTTGCAAAGGAAAAGATCAAGGTGAACTGAACTTGGACCTTGTCCTTGGGCCCACTACAGATTTGACTGAATGGAGGGAAAAGTGAACCAAGGCAGAAGGACTGGACACGTTGGGGGTGGTCAGCCAGAAAGGCAGTCCAGTCTGCCTGGAACAGACTGTCCTACTTTTAGATGACCAAAACATGCTTGTTGATGGTGCTGCATTTGGAAGTGTCCATCCAGTCAGTTGAAAGAAGATTTTGAGGACCTGATTCAGGGGCTTAGATTTGATACAGGGATGTCAACTCTCTTTCCACTTTTTCTGAGCTTAGGCCAGACAGATGCTCTACTAAGTGTTACAGACTGAGTGAGCATCTTCATCCTGCTTTCTCATCTGCCATGTTTGGACAGAGGTCTCAGACTCTTTCCCTAGATGAGTTCTTGGCAAGATCAACATAGTCTACTTCAGTGATTAATTTTTATGTCTATTTCAAACTTATAAACTGTCTCTTGTATCCGTGTTTACTTAGACATGGTATGTGCTCATTTTCAGCTTCCAAAGAAGTACAAGTTGATCATATTTTCTTAAAGACAATTTTTTTTTCTAATTGTGTATTAGGTAAATGCATAAAAATATTTTCCAGTGTAGAGTTTTTTATATCAGTTAGAACCCATGAGTTTAAAACCTAGGAGAATTTCACGTTGACGTCTTTAGGATACTCAAGATAGTTTGAAGACCAACCTAAGACTGACCATGACTGTACTTTGGCCAAATCTTCAAAGAACAGTCATCTACTCTTTTCCTCAGTTAGGAAGGTACTTTTTTCTTTGTTTCTATAGGACTGATACACGAGTAGATTTGTTTGGATGTGAATGTTCTAACTTTTCATATATTTTAAAATCTCTCTGGTTTACTGTATTATTTTTTGATCAGTTCCTGCTCTAGTCCTTGAACCTGTCACTCTTAGACCGGAGGCCCCAGGAACAACAGTAGGTAATGATATGCTGTGTTTTCAACAAGCCTTATCCTGCTTTCGAGTTTCATTTTTCATCCAGAGTTTCATCTTGCTTCATGTGACCACAGTGTCATTCTTTGTGGCCATTCATTTACATTCTTCTTAAAATTATGAAAACTCTTAAAACAAATTATCTGTTGTTTTTAAGAGAACTAGTCATGCATGAACCTACTTTAGGACATTTGTTTGCCACGTAACCTGTTTGATATTGTGTCCCGTCATTCTGTGTTTTGTTTAAGCAGTGTTTGTGGTAAAACTGGTTTTCAAACATATCATGGGTCTCTACCTCTTATCTAGGTAGATAAAGCCACTAACAGCTATCACAGGGCCAAGAGAATCCATTCATTGCACGTTTACATTTCTACCTTTTTTTTTCTATTTGCATAGTATTTTGTTGCTTTGTTTCTCTTTAGGTAATAATGTGTTCTTATTTTAATAGTTATGTGGAAAATGTGCCAAAGATTGAAAGATTAAATTATAAATCTCAGATTTAATGTGACTGCCCTTCATTGTCCATTAAAATTTAACAATAGTTCTTAATCGTTTTGTTGCCTAATCAAGCTGCCCTATCAGACTTTGATTATAATTACTAATCTTTTTTCTTAATTAAAAAATTATTTTTGACTTTAAAGAGTCTTCTATGATAAAAGAAGATATAAAAGGAGTATATGTGACAAAAATCTCAAAGTAAAAAGGCAAATGTCTAATAAGTTGTAAAAAATCTAGAATCATGTTTTCACCTCCCATAGCTTCCAGAACCATAGATAATGTAATTATGTAGTAACCCAAGAATTTCTTCCTTCAGCTTCCAAAACAGCACAATGGACGGGTCATCCACGTCCCAGACCAAAAGCCACACCAAGTCCCGAAGCACCTGAGTCTAAACCAGGTAAACACGTGTTCCTGGTTTAAAAAGCCCAGCAGAGTCTCAGGAGTAATCCTAGTTGTTGAGAGTAAACAACATGCCCCATGAGAGTAAAGATACACTGATGTTAAGCAGCAGTTCCCCCTGTGGTGATGGCAAGAGGAACACAGTAGGGGAGGTCTGTGGGGCAACAGAGTGCCTCATGCTTCCTGTAGAAAATCTTCTCTGTCACTGTGCATTTTATTAACTTCCATTTATCTCTTGCAAATAAGACTTCTTTAAAAAAAATTAGACATATTCAGTTCAAATCACAAACACTTATTAACTGCCTTCAGTATCTCCCAAGTCATGTTAGTACCTTTGGGGGTATAAATCATGTGTGGGAGACATGTTTTGGTCCTCAAACCTGCACAACAGTTGAGAACAAAGCCTTTCCCTTATAAATAATAATAATAAATTAGACAGCATCTATGCAAATGCAAGATTGATTTTTGTGTGCTACCAACAAAATGTGCTAGGTACACAAATATTTGGAGCAGGAAAAGATAGATTAAGAAAGAATGGAGCCTTGAAATCACTATAGTACCTGGCTGAGTAGAAGGATGGGGAGGGAGAAAATCAGAAAGAGGGGATATAACTAGAGACCCACCAGAGGAGAAAGTCTGACTGTAACACTAGTCTAGAGGATGTCTGACTGCAAGATGGTAGTCGAGAGTTTTCTGGATCTTGATCAGTCCGTGGACTCCCATGGTGGAGATCCTTAGGTGCCTGATGGAGCAGTTGAGATCTGATCCAGTAGACATCAGCAAGCTCTTCTTTGCACATGAAGGCATGCTCTCTCTTTGCTTAGAATGGAGGGATACCAGATTTGATTCATCATGCTGAGGCCTCAGTCTCTTTCCAAAGATCAGTTCTCAGCAAGACCCACACAGCCCACTTTGATTTATTAGTTAGAATCAGCTAATCAGAGGAGGAATAAGAAAATAGGTACTTGACTTAGGTATGGCCAAATTTTAGGAAATCACCTCTCTGCTTTTCTAGTTTAACAGGTTTTCAAAGTTGCTGTATGGTTCTAGAAACTATATTACACTAGTAAGGTTCATTTTGAAGTAAATGTTTTGAATTTTCCCTCATTTAAAACAATCATTTGGTTTGTTTTTAATACTTTTGGTCAGCTCCTACTGCAGCCTTTGAACCTGTTACGTTCAGAACTGAGGCTTGGGTGACAACACAAGGTAATAATACATGTGATCCTCAGTAAGTGCTTTTCCTTCTCATTGTCAATTCTCATTGTCAAACTCATTGCAGCCACATAGTAGCTACAGGTTCTTTTGCTTCATAAGGCTACATCATCACCCTCTGTTGTCGCTCCATTATACTCTTCATCCTGAAAGCATTGAAGACTCTGACTCTTAAAACAAGTTATCCTTGTTTTTAAGAGAGCCATGCCTGAACCGAACTCAGGTCATCTGTTATGCATGCAACCATCTGAAATTTTTTGTCATCTTGTGTGTTTTTTAACCAATGTTTTGTTAAAGCTGGATTTAAAAAGCAATTCTCTTGACCCTGATGACTATTATAATGTCAGGGAGTTTCTTAGTGGATCTAAAGGTCTACTGTTTTTGTTTTTTCTTTAACTCTCTCTGTGATACTTGTTCTTTGACATTTTAGTTAGGTATGTGGTCTTATTTTAGTAAACTGTCAAAGAGTTTGTATCTAGCTATCACCCACCACCATAATATTTTAGCAGTGAGTCTCACCCTTTTTATTCAATAGAAGAGTCCTATGAACAATGCTTCACTTCTTGAATTAATAACTTAATTTTATATATGACTCATTCCCAATGAACTTTCAATTGTAAAAGAGGACTTACTATTATAATAAGAGTGAAAGCTTCAAATTAAAAATTAAAAAGGCACATTGCCTAAAATTTGGGGAAATCTACTAAGTTTTAGGAACTCTAGAGCCATGTCATGCTACCCTCAGCTTCTGAATACCAACTCTGTAGTAACTAAAGATTTTCTTTCTTCAGCTCCTAAAACAACAAAACGGACCCGTCGTCCACGTCCCAAACCTAAAACCAAACCAACTACCGAGGCACCTCAAACCAAACCGGGTAAATGTGGGTTTCTAGTTAAAGGAGTGAGTCTGAGCAGCTCTTGGGAGCCTGGGACTGACGCCAACGGTGGGAGTGTTAGCCCGTGTGAGCAGATGTGTGTGAAGACACAAACTGATCTGCTGCCGCTCCTGCTGTGAAGCTAGCAAAGGAAAACATGGCTGGGGGAGACCTGAGTGGCAGCTGAACTCCTTGTGCTTTCTGCCTAAAGATCTTCTCTTTTAATATGTATTTTATTTTCTTTTTCTTATTTCATTCTATTCTTCTCTTAAGGATAAAATGTCTAAAATAGAACCAAACATTTTTATTTCAAGAAATAAACGCCAAGTGCCTTCCATCTCCCCGCAGCCACATCAGCAGCTGTGAGGACATCACAGAGGCAGGCAGCTTGTCTGTACTCTCAATCTGTAGTATAGTCAAAGTCAAAACCGCCCCAAGATGAAACACGCAAAGACTGAACCAAGGCAGTGTGTCTGTGCAAATCAAGCTCGATTTTTACTGGGGCTATAACCAGCTGTGAGCCTAGAGAGAGAAAAGTATGTGAAGGACAGGAATGAGAAGTTGGAAAGAAGTTGGGTCTTAAAACCATGGAGATGAACAGAAACAGAAAGAAAGGAGGCACAGAGGCCAACCAGAGGGCACAGGCTTCCTGGAACAAGGGAGGTCCTGCTTCTAAGTGGTGATATAGTGCTAGGTTTGGAAGGGTCCCTAGAGTAGTTGAAAGTCCTTGAAAGAATGACTCAGAAGCTGGGATCGGACCCTAGAAGCATCAGTGGTTTCTCCTGCAGTCTCCCTCACCTATATCAGATACCGGATTTTTGTGATCAGAGAGCTGCTCTACTGGGTACCACACACTGAGTGGATATTCATTATCCTGATTGGTTGAGTGCCTTTGCCTCAAATGAGATCTCAACCTGTTTGTAAATATGAGTTCTCAACAAGATGAATATGGTTCACTTTACTTCATTCTTTTCTGTGCCTCCTTTCAAACATAAAAGCTATTTATTGTATCCATGCTTATTTAGACATGTTATTTTCTTAAAGCTGCCACAGAAAAGCCAACAATTGCTAGAACAGTTACATAAGTATATATTTGGTAAAATGTTTAAATAAGTTTCCTAGGGCAGTCTTCTACACTAGTTGAAATTAGGTACTTAGACACCTGGGAGAGTATCGTGTTGATTTTATTGAGATACTTACCAGACTGTGTAGGCTATGACTAACTACCTCATAAAAGAATGGTTAACCTAGCTGTCTGGTGCCCAAATCTTTAAATAATAAGTATTTAATTTCAGAAAAAATTTTAAAATTTCTGTACACCTATTGAAGCAATATTATATTAGTAAGATTTAATTTACTGACTTTTCACAAGTGTTTATTTCATTTCTTTTGATTAGTTCCTACTACAAGTCTTGAACCTGGTACTCTTAGAACTGAAGCTCCAGAAATCATGGGTAATGAGAACGTGTGTTGTTCAAACAGTGCTTTTCCTACATTGTCATTTCACTGTAGCTGCAGGTGCTCCTGCATCTTAAAACCATTTCAACACCCTCTGTTATCATTACATTACAATCTTTATCTTGCAAATTATGCTAAGCTCTATGTAAAGTTATCTGTTGATTTTAAGAGAGCCATGCATAAACTAATTTCAGGGCATCAAACTGCCTTGTGACTGCTCAGCTTTGTGTCATGTGATCGTGTGCATTGGTTTAAATAGCATTGACTATTTTAAGCCTCATTTCAAACATGAATCTCTATCTATTCCTTCTTAACACTGCTTTTCTCTCATCAATTGTGGAAATACCAAGTTTCTTTGCTCACATTACTTTTTATCATATTAGGATCTGTTTGATTACATTGGTGAATCTGTTGTTTCAAGGAATGATCTTTTTAGTTAATTGTCAAAATTTTAAATGTGCCTAAGTCTTGAAGGTTTAGTTGATAGGCTGACATGATAGGGCAGGCTGATTCTCTCTCATTCTCTAAAAGGCGTTCTTAACTTTTATGGAATCAAAGACCGCTTTTAAATTTTGGTGGGCACAGTCCATTCATTATGCATTGATCCTTATGCTTTCAAACATATGAACTCATTATTGTACCCATGATTATTTACATAGTAGACAAAATAGTAGACATTTATATTGACTTGGGCACAAATGCAAGTAGACTGATAAATGCTTTTTCCAGTAGAGTTAGAAAAGTGTATGTTATATAAATGTGTAAAAAGCTTGTCCAGCAAGAGTAGATATTAGCAATAGTCAGATAATCAAATATCTAAGAGAACTTCTTGTTGACCACAGTGATATTTAGCAGAGTGCAATGCTAGGTCAATCTTACGAGATTAATGAGTACTTAGCCATGGTTTGGTCAAACCTACAAAGAACAAGTGTTTTTTTCTCTCAGTTCTAAAGCTTAAAAATTAACTTCTGAAATTAGTCTTCAAGTACATTTTTAAATCTCTTTGGTTTGTTTTATTATTTTTGGCCAGTTCTTCCTACAGTCCTTGAACTCGTCACTCTTAGGACCAAGGCTCCAGAGACAACATTAGGTAATGATATTCTGTGTTCCTCAACAATTTTTCTGCTCCTTGTCAACCCATTCTGTCATCATCATAATCACATTGTCATCAGCTTCATACGACTGTCTTGTCATCCTCTGCTGTCCTTCAACTTTATTTTCCTTCTTCTTAAGAGTATTGAAGACTCTTAAATTACCTGCAGTTTTTAAAAGCTATGCATGGACCTAGGTCAGAATATCTGTCTGCCAAGAATTCTTATTTGAATTTGTGTCGTGTACTTTTGTTTAAACAGAGCTCACGTTTAAAGCTGAGTTTCA